GGCAGGCATGTATGCACTTTTCTTAAATTGATATATTCCTTTTAACAGGATGAGCTAGATGACGTCACACAGGTTAAGAACACGCTCCATCAGGCCATGGAAAAACACTATTATCTAAAGTTGTCGGCCCAGTGGGAAGCACACATTGTGAGAATGGCTCATTTCAAATGCATTTACTGCTGTGTTGCAGGAGCATGCCCTAGTGTAGTGACGAGGACCCTAAAACTAGAGAAAAGTCAGTCAGGAAAGATGAGGAGAGAGCAATGGACTGTATCCTTCACCCATTGTGGGGGTTGTCTTTCTGTTGCCTCTCCAGCGCACCTGTTCCCACTTCCATTTATTCCATAGCAGGTGACATGGAGACACAATCAGAGGTGCAGTACTATTTGTTTGAGCACCAGAGCTGAGAGGAAGAAGAAGTAATTTGACAGCTTTGAGCATTTGGTGTGTCTCTGTACACTAAGAGTACATCAGCTCGTGACCCCCTGAGTCCCCTTTGTGTCGCCTTGTGGGACCTTTTGCGGTGTTATCCGCAGCGGACTTCCTAACAGAAAGGACAACCATCAGGATGGTAGATTCCAGCACACTTCTGACTTCGGCACTTCAGGCTCTTACGTTTCTCTTCTTTCTGCTTATCGTTGCGTTTCTTGCATACTGCTTGTACGTAAAACACATTCATATGAAATATGACCACATACCCGGCCCACCGAGGGACAGGTAGGTAAAGTTGTTGGGTAAAACACTTGTGCTGACATTATGTGCGACTGATCTTGTTAATTTAAAGCTCCTCTCCCCAGTTTTCTCCTCGGACATTCACCAACGTTTTCAAGGATATTAAAAAATGGCGGAAATGTACATGTAAAATTCCTAGAGTGGTAAGTTGAGTACAAACGATGTTTTTGTGCAGTTGAAAATAGCATTTCAGTGTCAATAATGATGTTTAAGTGTATCATTTAAATGACAGCATGTCGTTTACAGGGCAGAGGAGTATGGGCCTGTGTGGAGGATAAATGCTCTTCATTATGTCCTAGTGTCTGTGTCATATCCAGAAGCAACAAAGGTAAATCCCGCCGTTAACCTCAGAGTGTGAAATAGTGAAGTTTGTTTTGTATCAAAAAGCATAACTCTTGATAAAATTGGCAGTAAATCCTCTTTCTGTTCAATGTTTTTGTCGTTTTGCTTCAGGTAATATTGATGTCCTCAAAGTACTCCAAGGATGCATTTTCTTACAAGAGACTTGCCAACCTGTTTGGTCAGAGGTAACACTGACTTATCAAGTCTGCTTCATTCGCTTTAAATTTTTATAAGGATACGCTAATCCAAAAGCAGAGTTGGTAAGAAAGACCTGGGTTTAAATCCAACATCTGTCCCGGCCTTTCTGCGTGGGGTTTGCATGTTCTCCATGTGTCTGCTTGGGTTCTCTCTGAGCACGGGTTAGATTAACAGGATGGTGACCTGTCCAGGGTAAATAACACGCTAACCCCCCCACCACACACGCGCACACACACACACTTTTTTGTGTTTGGTTTGCATCAGTCAAATAAGGCTGATATCAGCAGATACCAGTGTGCGACTTGCGCTCATTTACCAATATTTAGTGGTAGACGTGAGCTTTGTGATGCTGTGGTTTGTTCAGTTCCTTTTACTAAGATTAAAACAGATATAATACTATCCTGTAATGTCAGTTTAACAAAGTAAAAATCAGCTGACAAATCCAAACTGTTTAAACCCTTATTTTTTTCAAATTTGTGAAAAAGTATTTTTCTCAACTTCCTTCTTTGAAGGCTCTTAGGCAATGGGCTGGTAACAGCACGGGATCATGAGCAGTGGTACAAACAGCGCCGGATCATGGACCCCGCGTTCAGCAGCCTGTGAGTTTCAGTTATCACAAAAACACACAACAGTGTCTTCCGTGCTGCTTCTGTCTAAAGCTATCATTACTTCCAGGTATCTGAGAGGTCTGATGGGAACCTTCAATGAGAGGGCAGAGAAACTGATGGATAAACTTGCAGATGTTGCTGACAATAAAACAGAAGCTAATATGCTCCATCTTGTCAACTGTGTCACTCTGGATGTTATTGCTAAGGTATTATATTACAGTCAATTTTAC